AGTGCAGGGACTACGGGGCAGTCAGTGCCGCACCTGGGAGGACAGTGTCAGCACAGAGCAGCGACAGCCCCTGCTGGTGCGGACGCAGGGAAGCCGGGACACGCAGGGCAGCAGGGGCGTGGCGCTGGAGTGCACCACAATGCTGGACACTGGTTAACACGGGTAGGTCGAGGGTTGGTCACCAGCCCTGGTGGAGCCTTCTTAGGGTTTGGATGTAAGGTGTTTGCCCCAGCGCTCACGTGTTGAAGGCTTGGGCCCGGCTGGTGGATCCCACTGTGGAACAGTGATGGGCCTGGAGGACTCTGAGCTCATCAGGGGACTCATCCACGTGGGGATTTATAATCTGGTGGCAGTATGGGAAATGGTGGGAACTGGAAATGGAGCTTGGGTTGTGCCTTGGAAGGGTCTGTCTTGTCCCTGGCTCCTTCTCAATATCTCTCGTCCTCCTGGCTGCCACAAGGTGAGCCGTCCGTGGCTGAAAGCCTTTCCTTCTCCCAAGCAGTGAAGTCGGCCATCACAGACTGAGACCACTGAAGCTATGACCCAAAATAAGCCACCCCTCCAGTCGCCCCTGCAGGCATTTCGTCACAGTGACCAAAAGGGACCCCACCATCCTGTACTCCTACAGGCTTGGTGGAGGGAGTCAGGTTGGGGATGGGGGTGTGCCCTGGAAGGGGACACTGGGACCCCAGGCCCTCCTCTCTCTCCTAGTGGAAGGGGGCTAGGTCAGGGGGACACATGACACAAACATGTAGACAGAGACACACATATACATAGACACACCATCACACATAGCCACGGGTACACCCACAGACCCAGAAGTACTCAGACCTGTGACATACAAGGACACAGACACACACAGCAGCTGGGTGGCCCTGATGGCTTCAGAGAGGCTGCAGGTGGCGTGGAGACCACCTCCTAGTATGGGGACACTGGGGGAGGGCTGATGGACGTGGCTGCATTATTTCTTACAGCACCATCTGATTCTACAGTTTTCCCCAGCCTCCATACTTATACAAAGTCCTCTCTGGAAACCCCACACGCATCAGCCTCTCAGCTAGTGCTGCTGGGGGCTGGTGGAGGGCATCACACTGGGGCCCCGGGGGACCCCTGGGCACAGACCCTCCTGGGCCCACCACACAAGGTCGGCTAGATCCTCCCTCCTGGGAATGCTACTGGTTGTTCCCACTTTCCGGTGACCTGGAGAGGCAGGGCACCTCATCTCCTTTAGAAAGCATCCATCTGTAGCTCACCAACTGCTCCAGCAGGACCATGTGCTCCGACAGGTCCATGAGCCAGGTGAGTCAGAGGCGGGGGAAGGCGGCTGGGGACGGGGTGCACCTTCCCTGCTGCCTGCCGTGGGCAGAGACCGAGGCTGAGGCCCCGCTTCCCCCAGGAGTGCTGGGGGTGAGTGGCTGATGGTGGCAGTGGCGTCCATGTCCCTACCCCTCTGGTCCCAGGGGTGGTCAGTGTGCTACAGAGGAAAGAGTGCGTTTGGGGAAGAAAGTGGGGGTGACCGGGCATAGCACTGCAGGTTACTGACCCCAGACAATTCCCACCTTCCAAAGCTCCTCCCCGCTTAGTCAATATTTAACCTTCCTCTACTTGAACGCACATCCCAAACCTTCCATTAGCCTGTCGCTCTAGAGAATAATGACTAATTTCTGGCGGTAGTTTTTCTTTATTACACAAAGGCATGTGCAAAACCCTTCCATTACTGTAATTTGCTGATGGAAAAGAAGAAATCACAGGGACAATTTCTAGGACCCAAGGACTGCACTGTGGCGAGCACATGCCACACTCTGTCAGGGCCTCACGTCCTTGCCCTCGATTGGGTCAGTGGAGGAAGGAGCCGAGTTCAGGGCAGCCATGAACAACTCCATCTCAGACTTGGCTTGAAGACCTGGCTTCTTCCAGGACTAGAGACAGACTCTGGGGCCCTGGGGCTCTGAAAGGCAGCTGACAGACACAACTCACACACAGTCCTTGGAGAGCTCAGAGAGGGAGAGAAGGCAGGGGATGGAGGAGCCAGAAGGGCCAGGGCTGTAGGGGGCGGGGCCAGCACTCTAGGGCGGGGCCAGAAGGTAAGGGGCGTGGCCAGTGCTGGGCATGGGTTGGGTGGGGTGAAGAGGGGTTAGGCCAGGTGAGATCTCCAGGGTTAAAGGTTTGGGGGATTCTGGGCAGGAGATGCAACAGTCTGCTGCTTTTGCCGCCTTAATGAATAAAGCTAGCTACAGATCTGGGAAGGCTTCTGCTATTGATGTGTTTTAAAATAAGGCAGGAGAAGTGAGCTTTGTGCGGCCAAGGCCAGGCAGACTGGTGCCTGCAAACAGGCTGTGTGGGAGGAGAGAGGCCCCTGGCTCTGCGCTGGGGCAGCTGCGCCCACCCCTCACGCGCAGACCCTCCCCCAGGTGCCCTTGGCCCTCCCCACTTCTTCCCGTGTGGGCTGCTGCAGCGGATCTGCCCCTCTAGGGACTGTGGGGAAGAACAGCCCAAGGCTCTGCAGAGCGTCCCTCCTGCCCCTGCGGTGGCACTGGCTTGCCTGAGTGTCCCCGTCCTGAGAGACCATCAATCGCCTTGTTGAGACAGAAGCCTGGAGACAGCGCTGAGAGAACTGGGAGGTCGGATGACAAATGTTTGCCTTCCTGCCCAGAGGCCTTGTGGAGCAGGAGGGGACTCAGAGCAAACCAGCCCTGCTCAGAAGCGGCCTCCAGCTCCCCCGGGGCCCAGAAGCCAGCCCTGCTGGGGCCAGTCAGAGGGTGCACGACCCACTTAACCGGACGGACGCCTTTTAGTGCCATGGCTGCTCTGATGGCCCAGCAGAGCCCTCCCCTGAGGCCTCATCCCCCGCCCTCCAACCCAGGTCAGATCAGTCCAAGGAGGGCCTCTTTCCGCTCCCTGTAGCGGGCCGGCAATGGGGGCAGCCCTTTCTTGACAAACCCTGGGGGCCTGTCAGCTTCACTGACCAGCCACCGCTTGTGGCCGCTCAGGATTCCGCAGGCTCTCCCGACACTGCTGCCCACGGGCCGGCCTGGTCCGCAGCAGGGCAGGGTGCAGGCGCCTGTGATCTTGCTTGCCTACCCTGAGTGCTGCCCTCCCGGGGGCCTCAGGACTTGTGTGAGCGGATGCACACTGGAGGCCACGGCAGGACTCACGCTAGGCCAGGCCGGCATACAGCCACGTGATCACTGCGGTCCGTGGGGCAGGGTCTCGAGGAGGTCCAGGGGGACTGACTTCTGGAGGCCCTGTTTACTATCGGGCTTGGAACCAAATCCCAAGTCCAGGCCAGGAGGTCTCGCAGGGTGGGTCTCGGTCTCTGGCCGCGTCTCCCCAGACCCTGACGTGTGATCTTTCCTGTCCCAGGCTCCCTCCCGGCACACCTGCTGCCTCAGCCCCTCCCTGGCTGTTCCTCACACCCCTCCACAGAGGTGACACACCCCTCCACAGAGGTGACACACCCCCTCCACAGAGGTGACACACCCCTCCAGGGCAGTGACACACACCCTCCACAGAGGTGACACACCCCTCCACAGAGGTGACACACCCCTCCACAGAGGTGACACACCCCTCCACAGAGTGACACACCCCTCCACAGAGGTGACACACCCCTCCACAGAGTGACACACCCCTCCACAGAGGTGACACACCCCTCCAGAGGTGACACACCCCTC